AATATTTAGAATATTACATCTCATATACTTTCTACAGACAATTTGTTTTAACATATACGTATATTGCATCATTCGTTCGTTTGTTCATTCGTTTGTTCATTTATTAATTAATTAATTAATTAATTAATTAATTAATTAATTAATTCATTCATTCATTCATTCATTCATTCATTCACTCATACATTCATTCATATGAACAATATCAATATTGAAATACAGTGCGGTTAATGGATATAAAGGCCTCTCAGCTAAGATACAACAAATGATAGAAAGTAATAATAAAAATAATATAATTAGAAAGTATCATGAATAAAGTAATATTTTAAATGAACAAAAAGTTTTACTTTTTCCTAGTTACTGTAGGACAAAAGCTCTGAAAATTGTTTCTTTGAACAGCTTTTAGCGTTATTCCTCCTTGCCGATGAATTGCTGTCGATGTTATCATTAAAAAGAGGCGAACAGCTGATAACGTTACTAAAATTTTGATGACACACAAACTTAAATACCTTATAACTTTAACAGAAAAGCTTTTTTGAAGGTATGGTTTGGAATATTTAATGACAAAATGTTTACGTTTACGAATCGTTTGAAAAAATGATTAATTATCATGAGAAAATATAAGTTTTTGTGACTTCAAACTAAAAATACCGCATCTCATCGGATAGTGTGGTTATTTTCAGTCAAAATTCATATGTAGTAAAGCTTTTACAGGGCCAGAAATTTGTTAGCATGCTTCTTTGGATGTTGACTATGATTCCATAACATTGATTTACTCGAACACAGTTTGGATATGTTAAAAATAGATGAATACTTACCGTACTTCAATTGTATTCCCCGCGCCGACATGTATATACTGGTACAGCTGTGGACGCTTGAACAGCTGTCTGCCCATTTGATTGTGCGGTGTGAATTCCTTTATATAAATAACACACCTTTTAACAAACCAAGCTGCAATTTTGATTTGAAAGTAAAAAAAAAAATATCAATAAAATCTGATGAATTGTAAACTCTATCATGTCTATTAAAGAACTGCACACATGGATAGTACACTGTAAATGTAAATGTTCAAGAATAGAACATAATTATCTTGAACGCCTATTTGCAACAGATATTGAACGCCAAAACGTGTTCCATTTCTTAATACTAGTGTTCAACTTTTGTCTCCAACCGTTCATATACTAACGCCTTATGAACATCTAGTGTTCAACTTTTAACGTTGACGTTAAAATCCTAACACCAAACAATTCCATTATAGAACATGTTATGAACATTCAGGTGTTCTACTTTTAAATGCCAGACGCGTTCAATTTCGATGCAACAGATATTGAACGTATAGAACATGTTCAAAATTAGGTATGCTTAAAGTTAGAACACTGATGAACACTTATGTTAACATTTGAACACCTGATAAAACAACAGATCTAAGTCATAAAACGAAGAAATCATATTGAGATTTTTTAATTATTCTTTAGTTATTCACAATAATAATGAATAATGTTATCCAAAATTTCTTATCATTTTCTAACTCTAAGCCTTATAAACAGTTATAAAGTCAAAAATGGAATGATTTTAAAACTAACAATTTTTATCAAAAACAATTATTATCAAAAAGTTCTTTTAGTAATTGTTTGTATATGTAAACATTAATCTTGCGTTTCATATCAGAACACAAAAATATAAGTAATAATCACAAAGCAACATAACCTGTCTCTCAATATCCTAGCATTGTTTCACTTATTGTTATCACATGTTGTATTTTTATGTGTTATATTATTATGTGCACAAATGCAGTCTTCTTAACATAACACATGAATTAAGGATAATTTCCTAAATTTCTTCTCAAATACAAACTGCTGCGAGAGTCTTGAAAACATAAACAATAAACAATATTCTATGTCGAAAACAAAGTTTCAAGTAACTGAATTTTAAACACCAACGTAGCCTGGGTTCCAGTCTGTCAATTTTTTATGTGCTTATGTTCGGCAAATCGATGATACCATCAAAACCACAGCTGTTGTGTTATCTATGACGATCGAGTATGAAATAGCGCGTAAGTTATGAATAAGCAAAAAAAAATATCAACGCCTGAATCCCAGGCTAACACCAACGGACATGTCTCCAAAGCAATAGTGCTCCCGTCTGTATGTCATCAGTTTGTGCGGGGTGTTTTCAATTTGTCTCCAATTTAGCAGGAAAATCATATTCTTCATTATCCTGGAAAACATTAATGGAATTTATTAACATGCTGGGGATTTAAAGGCTTATAGTTGAGATTTTTTACAGTTCTGATATAGAGAATAACAGCGTAAGTGGTTAACATACATGCATTATATTTGTATATGATATATATATATATATTATGTATAAGCAATATCTAACGATTTATCAGACACCACATTCAAGTCAGATTTATCTTAATACAATTCTAACATCACCAGGGCCATGCTCTTTCTCACAAAGTCGATTTGAATCCGTAGCTAGGACTCTTGTTCGACACAATTTATTTGTGACACAATGTCAGGCCATCTTTGTAACAGTTATAGAATATAAAATGATTTGATTAACAATAAAAGCTCATTTTGAAATGTTAGAATTTAAATATTATCCATCTAATATTGTTTAAGGAAACAAACCTCAAAGATCTGTATGGAAGTCTGGAAATTACATCCTTTCCTTATTTCTGTAAATATTTTGCTCCAGTTTCTGTAGATCTACAGTATAGTTCAAATCTTTCAGCACTGCTTGAAACATCAGCACTTAGTCGCTATCCTATTAAAATAAAAAGCAACAAAATATATCTATTCACAATTTTTAAATAATTCAATCTTAATAACCCCGACTACTCAGAAAAATCTACATTATCACATATAGATCTTCTTCTTGTATATATTATATAAGGAGACACGTTATTAATGCCATTGTGAACTACAACAATATGACTTAGTTCTTTTCAGAAAAATAAAATAATTATGTATAAAAAGATGCTAAAGAAGTAAAAGTAAATACCGTATTTTTCTTCAAATTTAGTGTAAAGTTTGTCTCTTTTCAGCTTGCGTTTCGCCAACGCTTACTTGTTGTTGTTGTACTTGAATTTGACGTCAGAAATTGTCATAAATCTTTTTTTTAGAAACGTTCTCAATTAGAACATTCGATGAACGCTAATGTTCATATCATGTTCCGCTTTATAATGTTTTAATTATTAAAGCACCATTACTTATTAAATTGCGTAAATATAACCTCAACTGACAATATATTGACCAAAAAACTTACCCAATTTCTCAAAAACTCAAATAATCTCATGTTGTCTAGTCAGAAGGACTACCATTGAACACTGACGTTCAAATGATAATTGTTCGACTCGTAAATAGAACGCCTTTTCTGAACACAATCATTCAAAATATAAACGCGCAATGTTCCAAAATTGAACAAGTGTGAACGCGTCCGGTGTTCTCTTCATGTACAGCGTACGTAACTGTTGACTACGTAATATACGGATTTCTAGCCGCGTGGGTTCAAACACCGTGAGTGACAAGCCGTTGATTCCTTTAAAAAGGAACCACACTCAATGTGTTTTGATTCCAATAACGAATTTGAGAGTGTTTCAATCAGCTTATAACTTCCGACACAATCAAACTAAAATAAATTCTGTATTTAAACTATAATTTAATTCGTCCAAGTCACATTGAACACTTTGACTTTAACAATTTTTGAAAAAAAATTACAAGGACTGTTCTGTCTCCAACTGTTTTTTTAGGTTTTTAAGCAAGAAAATATTAAAATCCACATATCTTAAATGATATTGAGTTGTTCTCCCGACACCACGTTTAGTAGTTTTTAAATTTTCAAAACCCGACAACAAATAAAAAAGTTATGCAATACTAAATCTTTACATGTTTTTTTTATCAAAAAAAAAAAACAAAACAAAACAAAACAACAACAACAAAACAACAAAATGACACATAGAACAAAACGTTTTTCAAGCATCGTAATGTATTTTTATGTGTGACATCCAATAATTGAATACTTCACGACCAATTAGATATGAAGGCAAATTAAGTCTATCTATTAGTGCCCGTCTACACCTATCCAAGTCTTGAATGCAAGTATCATATTCTCTTGTATTGGATAGTGTAGACACCCTACTTGAATGAGTTTTAAAGAGAAATTATATGACATCCAAGAAGATAATTCCTTGCAAGAAAGTTAGAACACGTTCTATTTTTCTACAAGTTTTTGGCTGTCAAGACACTGATAACACCGGTTTGACACAAAACATGTGCCCCGAAGGTGTGATAGTGTTGTTTTTTTTTTTATTATTTTCTGACTTTTTGTTGTGATTCAGTGTACATGTCCTTTGAATTTCAGTTAATGATTACAATGTCTTGGTCAAAGGAACAAATCAATACGCTGATACACAGAAGAGCAAAAAAAAAAAAAAAATAAATAAATAAAAATAAATACATTGTAAAAAAATAAACAGGAACTCTTTTTCAAGTAGAGTCAAAATGGATTTAAAATGATCTTGTTCATTTAGTGAATAAGTTTCATCATACAAAATATTTTTTGTCACATTTTTTCAATTTTAAAAAAAGAATGATCGCATTTACTCCATTCTGTTTTAGCTAATTGCATCATTTTCCCGCTTCTTTTCACATATTTTACAGAAACATGATAGTCTTGCAAAGACAAAGGTATAAATCCTGGGCTATCTTAATGAGACATTTCAGTAAAAATTGTGCCTGAAAAAATGTTGAAAGGGCCGTTTATTTAGCTTATCTAAATGTGACATGTAAGAAACTTGAATAGGTGTAGACACGGCCTAAAGTCCTGTTTACATTCCATCTATTTTAATCGTAAGATTAATTGATTTACCGTTTACATAAGCGCAATTAATTATTTCGGAATTGCACCCCAAAAGATGAGAATTTAATGATGTGTGTGGCATAGCATTCTTCGATATTTTTGAAGAAACAATCACGTTCTTTTAAATCGGATCATTTTAGAAACTTTGTTTACCTTTTTCAGATGGCTTTACAGCGGAAGTGCCGAGGGCTTTCATTAAATGTGGAAGAGCCGCTGTTTTGTAGGGGTGTATATTCAGTTATGTTAATGCATAATGGGTAATAACTTTATTATATCTTACTATATTATACTATATTATTATATCTTACTATATTATACTATATACTCATGTACAGCTTCCTCTCTAATGTTCAAAAGTGAATTTTATGTGTTTAAAATCATGCTCGGACTTTTAAGAGTCTTTTGTTGACAATTAAGGACATAACAAGTCAAGACGAGGTTTCCCGTATTGAACTCACGCCGAATCTCAGCCATAATTAGAAGACAATTTTACTTATACTTAAGACTTCCTGATAAAAGCAAAGCGATGCATCTGTTTTTAAATTATCTTTACACGTATATATGTGTACAAACTATTACACATATAATATTTTAAAGGAGATTTGTACCTTAACACCGCATTAATAACCCGCGGTGATAGAAAATACATATTTACAGAAGATGCTGTAACCAATGGTTTTAAACCTCCACGTGAGTCACATATATATCGTTTTATCAATCGAACAGTTGCATGATTATTTCATTTCTAGACGTGTCAAATAGAGGATTTAAAATATGTGAGTAGTTTTCTTATATAATGTTTCTATCTTCAAATTTGTAATAAAACCGCATTTGAAATGAATATCTATTGAATGTAGATAATAAAGATGTATATATGTTTCCTGTAACGAGACGTACCTGCATAAAACAAATATGCGTACATGCATGAAATTGTTCAAGGTTAGATAAATTTAGATATTAAGATAAACGCCTTGCTGATTAAGTTAAAACTGGTTTTTAAATCGGATACTTGTGTAGATTCTTCTATACATATTCTTGATTTCCAGACAAATTTGTAAATTTCTGTTTCATGTTTCAGTTTATTATATTAAATTGAAGTCTCAAACAATTGTCAGATCCCGTGAGATGAAAATTGAACTGAATTCTGTTTGTGATTTTTCAGATATCGACATTTTCTTTAATATCATGCAGTTTTTCCAAACATTCGAAATTACAGCAGCTTTTCAACTCCTCAAATTAGCAATAGTAGCGATACTTTTTCTCTATCAAATTAAATTACCTATAGATGCGGTATATTCTTGACCTAGTATATTGTATAAAACACCATGTTAGAGAAAGTTTTACTTTTTACTTTGTATAAAAATTTTTTTACCATTCAAAGAATTTGCCTCATGTCTTTCCAGTTTGAAAATGGAAGGTAAAAAGGCCGTAATCAAGAATGCTGACATGTCGGAGGACATGCAACAGGACGCCGTAGATTGTGCTACACAGGCTCTTGAAAAATACAACATTGAAAAGGACATTGCTGCCTTCATCAAGAAGGAATTTGACAAAAAGTACAACCCAACCTGGCATTGCATCGTTGGCCGAAACTTCGGTAGCTACGTCACCCATGAGACGAAGCATTTTATTTACTTCTACCTTGGACAAGTTGCTATTCTTTTATTCAAGTCTGGATGATTTTCAAATGGTTATATATTTGATGAATGAAGTTGTAAATGTTGAGGATATATGGAACAGCCGCTCTGTAATTCTTCACGCCTTAAATCTACGACAAAGATTCGTGGTGTCTCAAGCTTGTTTAAATGTCGGACGTTCATTTTTTTATGTAAAACAAATAATGGACAACAGTGTTCTGCAGTAAATATTTGAAAGTGTCACATATTTTGAGGTAAAACATTCGTATTTCACACAATTAAATCATTGTATTATAATAAACATAACATATTCGTTGTAATCATTAGGAATGACACGGACGTTTGGATAAAATGATTAATTAATCACATTAAGAAAATGCAAATTATGAACAGATAAAAACGAAGTTCTGATAACATGAATATTAACAAACAAAAATCATACAATTATGTACTTGTCAAAACGCCCGTTAATATCATCAACTAATAGTTTGTTCATAACAAGTTTATCTTGATAAGTGTACAATATTTTGTGAATGATATTGTTTGCCCAATTCTATTTGTATGAATGATAACTTCATTTGATGACTGAGTTTTATTTGTTTTGCAATTTTATATCAAAGATCTCAAGAACATGTTAATGGATTTAGATATTTTAAGTCCTTATCAAATACTTCAAGTTAAAATACTGTATCTAGGAGAAGCCAGTGTCTGACACAGGTTTTTGTTATTTTTATTGCTATTGAAATGTATGTTTGTTACTTCTTATTAAAATGATAAAATAAAAAAAAAACATTTGAAATGATAATGTACAAACTTAGTATTGATTTATTTTCCTACCCATATGTACTCTTGCTCTCTTTTTCATAAAAAATACGACGTTATCCTTTTTTTACCATGGGTACAGATTAGTATACAGAAGTTATTTCAAGTCAATTACGTAGGAAGCTATACCCTTGGATCTGTTCCTAGAACCAACTTTGAACCAACCAGTACTGACGGGGTTTGGACCCATGCGACTAGCGATAAGTAGATTACTAGTCCGATGTATTTACCACTCAGCCATGTTCCCTCACAATAATTATTAAGGATTTGACGAGTTTTAACATTGGAATGAATTATTGTTGTTTGTTTTATGCAAGAATAATATGATTCAACAGTTTATTTAAAAGACATATGTGACTTAAGGTGTCAATCAATATTGATCTGGTTTTATACTGATTTTAGAATCCCGCTATTTTTAGCAACAAAAACCCCAACAATTTATGTAGTTAACAGATACGTAAAATTTCTAAGTAAAGATTATTATTTACAAAATGTACAACCGTTGCCAAAAACCGGCTAAATAGAAGAAAAAAAAAACAGACTGTTTGAATTTGTTCATGGAAAACATTAATAGGAGCCGACTATCGCTCACCCCACCCACTATAGCACCGGCTTAGTAGAGATTTCAACAGGTTGAAACAACATCTGCAGATGTTCAAAAGCCAATGATCGTTGATACAGTAAAACTATGTATCTAACAATGATTTATTCTATTTTATCGATATGTATTTGTCTCCGCCGTATGTTTTTTTTTTCAAATTCGTTGATATTCATTGAGAAATGCACGTAAGTGATGTGTAAGCGAACTTTCAAATTATTTTATGGAAAATTGTGTACATCAGTTTGAAAACCAACTGAAAATACCTTTGCAATTTAATATTATGATAATATCTTCACTATTTAGTGTACGCATATTATTACGGATATTATTGATTGGGCCTTTGATATATTAACACCGATCAAATAATCCACGTTTTTAGAAAATACGAACAAAGGGTTGAAGGGGCTGCTAATCGTATTGGGAAAAGAGTAAGTTTATGAAATATGACAATTTATGTGTCTATTACAAGTTTTTAATACTTAACAGAAATTTATGTAGAAATCTTCTCCCGTAAAGAAGACAATTCTAATTGAAAAGCGACCGTGCTAAGCTGTTAATTAAATGTAACAATGTAACGCAAAGATCATCAAAACACCAACATATTGGCGATAAAAATGACAATTCTTCAATATCAAACCGAAGTGCCTTACAAACACACAGCTTGCGTATTATGTAGATTCTATTTTTGCTGTTAAAGGTGTTGACCTGTCAATTGCAATTCCATTAATATTATAGTGACATGTTGTACATGTGTAATCAGTACTTTTCGCCACTATAAATCATAACAGAAATATTTCATGTGCATGATCTCATTTAGTTTTAGTTAATATTTATCTATTAACCTTAAATGCAGTTTTTTATTTGCATGTTTGTTTAATCCTGAAACAATTTCGAGTAATAACATAGGTCCTGATTCATCTATAAAATAAATAAAACAAGTTGCCAGATTGCTTTTCAAGAGTTATTAGTTTTTAGCAAGTTATTTTGATATGATATCTTTAAAAAATATTGAGATTAACTTGAACATAAAATTATGTTACTGTCTTGTAACATCGTTGCCCCTTGCGGCTTAGGGATTGCTTCCAATATTATAGTTGAGGCATCAGAATTGCAGAAACGTTTGTCTCTGCGTGATCGTAAGAGGCGAGCAATTGGTCCGAATAACTTGAGTCTTTGCATCTCTTATTTTCAGCATAGGCGACGATTTTGTCCTCTGGTGTTGCTTTTATAGTTCTAACACCCGAGGTAAGCCAAAAGCATCTTTCTTGTTTCGGCGCCGTATGACCAAACACATTGTATTCATCACAAATGTTTTATGTGATAGCTTGCTCAGTGACCATACATGTAGATTAAAATATAAATTCAAAATTTATTTTATTTATGATAATTATTATCCATTATGGATAGATACATTTTTAATGCATGATGCATTTAGAAAACTATGCCAATAGAGGATGTGGTTCTGTACATAAGAAGTTAAAAATGGCCATACAAAGAACGTATAAGTATACAATTTTTGAACTATAAATTAAAGTTACAAGAATTACAAGAATACATGCCATTGTATACACCATTTTATGATACAATCAGTAGATAAAATAGACAATGTATTTATATACCATACATGATTTATGAAAACAGGGAAATTAAAAAAATACTATGGTGGCTAAATTGCGCTATGTCGTATTTTTGCCTTTTTTTGCCACAAACTACGGAGTGGGTCAATATGCAATGCGAAATGAACTTAATGCAGTATATTTTGAAATTAAGCTCGTGATTCTCGTGTTTCTTATACTATGCATCAAAGCATCTGCTTTTAAAAGATACCAAAACTATGTGAGTAGTTAACCGATCAAATATTTTATTCACATTTCAAAATACCTTACACGAATATAACGTCATGAAGAATATGGCTGATAACGCTCAGTTAAAAGTGCTAAAGCACGGGCTTACATAAAAACTCGAGTAAAACTAGGAAAGTCTGCTATAAATATTTATGATTTTATAATTTGTTCAATTCATTGATCATATTGCATTACAAATGAACACTCTCTCTTATACGATACAATTAACCTTGTCGTAAACTTTGTGTTTTCTTTAGCATTTTCGAAGTGAAAGAACGACACATGTGGCGTAAATCAGCAACCATGGTTATAATTAAAGCCACGTTATTAAAAAAAACGGACTTTATACGATTATAAAACAATTGTGTTTCTAAAAATAATAAAGAAATCCGCTGTTGAGAATATATATGAGTCATTTTTTTTTTAAATATTATGACTTTATATATCTTGTCACGACTTGTGCCACAATGTATATTGGTTAAGATTTTTTTTCTTCCTCGCCATTTTCCGTTTTTATCAACGTTTCTAGGCGTTGACATGGCGTTGGCACATTGCACACTTACTGCAACCGTTACAAATTTTGCTTTCCTTGTGGGCTTGTTATTTCAACACTTTTGCATTATCGTGTATTTATTACAAAGTGATCCATACTTTATATATTTTTTAAGGTTTTAAATGTTTAATGGGTCTCCATTCTCAATTATAATTATAGTTATATACCATGATACAACTCATCTCAACTCAAATATTTTATAAACGTCTCATTACACATACACACATACATATACATTTGAAAAATAAATAAAAAGTTTTTACACAACACAAAACCAGTCCCACATAAGCATTTATAAGAGACTGCAATTCTATTAAAAATAATGTCTAAAATATCTACATTTTAATTGCAAATCAATACAATTATCGTATGGCTATTGTTTTACTGTTATAATTAATAGTACTGATGTTGTTAAAGTAAAAATTCTGCTGGAATTCCAGTGGATTTTTATCAAGATCGGAGGCAGGTGCGAAGTACAATTCGGCCTGTACAAGGTCAATGTCTATGTCGCCTCAGTCAAAGCAAACTGGACGATCACCATATGCCAACCTCAATGAATAGATAAATGAACAGTAACAATTCAGTTTTAATATACGTCTATTTTTATTTTAACACACTTTAATGCAATGTTGTTAAAGCAAGATTATCCGAATTTGACGGTATGCACAGGTCAATTTGCTCAATAAATAAATGTCTCTTACGCAATATAATCTCAACTACATGTACTAGTTATCTCATTTTAAGTATATCCTACCTGTCTCACCACTGTTGGTTCGAATCCTTGCAGGGACTTTGGACTCCATCATGTTATCATGTTTTAGTTAGCTTTCAGAAGGCCGGTGGATAATAATAAATGGAAGGACACATCAAGTTTTCGTCCATTAGGAAAGCTCAGAAGTCGCATTCTTACCATAGATTGACCCTCTTAAAAAAAGAAGAAAAAAGGAAGGAAAAAGAAGGAAAGAAAGAAAGAACAGATCGTCTTAATTGAATTGAATGTAGTGTCTGGTCTCCTTACAATTGAAATTTCTCATTTTCCACCACTGGAAAATAGTGTTGCTATGCCATTATTGGTAATCATTTTGCTGTTATTATATGTTATTTGGAACCTTGACTTTTTAGAATAAACAGTAGAATCTTTACATGCATAAAATAACTTTTATACATATATGTATTTACCGTTTTCTGGTTGTTATTCTTCAATTAACATCAAGTCACAGACAGGCCCCGATAAAAGAATAATTCCAGATAGATAATTAGTGAAAAGACTTAGATGCAACACAAGCTAATTACGATAATTAGGTAATTTAATTACAAAATCTACATTTCGAAATTACTAATCTAGCTCAGAAGATATCAGAAGTTAATCAATAAGACTTGCGACAAAACCAGGAAAATCTCAGCACCAGTAAAGGGAAAAATCACGGTACTTTGTTAAGAGGTTTAAACTTAACGTCAACAAAAGTGAGTAATAATTCATTTTTATCTAACTTAAATATTAATTAAGCGAAATATATTTTTATCTTATCTTGTTAATTTCTATATATTTTCATGATTTTAGTTAACTTTTTCAGTTTTGATACGTTTGTAATTTTGAACGTCTTTGTAATGTTACAATCAGAAAAATATTTCATAATGCTTTAGAAGATGACGCATTTCAAAGTTTCGAAAGAATTATAGCTTTTAATTACGGAAACGGTCTTGTTTAAATACAAACGTATCTCTTTTTTTCACTTATTAATATGTTCTTACAGAATTTACAAATAAAAAATAATTTAACAATCGAGCATATTTTTATCGGATTTTAATCAAAATTGTGTACTGGAATGTAATTGTGATCACTTTCAAGAAGAAAGATAATTTATAATTTTTTATAAGAAACGGCGGCGGTGTGCTTAAATTCTATATGGCACTCGCACAATAGGTATAATAACTAAATGAATATCCTTTTTTATATATAATTTATTAATGTTTCATTGCCAAATC